GGATACCTGGTGCATGTGGTACCTGTAGGAGAGCTCAGTCTGGGGTCACTGGAGAGCCTGAAGAAGACTTGAACACTGGCTGGTAACTGCTCCCAGCAATGATCAGGGACCTCTTGAGGAGCATCATGGGGAGCACAGGGCAGAGAATCGAGGGAGAGAGAGGACCCTGAGGGCTTGGGACAGAAAATACACTATGGGAGCATCACATCCCCATCAGGGCAGGGGTGAAGGTGCCACAAAGGCACAGGCTGGGTGAGAAACATGTCTTGCAAAGGCAGGGTGTGACTTGGCAAAGGAGCCAGTGCTCCAAGGGCTTTCTGGGGACATTCACAGTCTGCAGGGTGCAAGTCCTTTGTCACTTGATTCCCCTCAACAGGGATGTAGCAGTGGGGTTTGGGCAGGATCCAGCTCCAGAGCTGTACCATGGGTGCAACAGTGCCTGGACACTTCCCAGGGAGCTAGATGACGGAGTTAACAATTTCCCAGCAAGGAAATGCCTGTATTGCATATCCTTTTGTATTCCAGTGTCTCCTCACCCACCCTGCTCAGGTTCCTCAGGAGCTCAGGTCAGGACCTCACCTTTGGAGCCAACACTGCTGGAATCACATCTGCCTTCTCTTTTGGGAGGGGGATGTGGCTTTGGGCAGGGACCTCATCAGGACAAACGTGTTCTGTAGAAGAAGAGCTGCTGTGGAAGTGTGGGGAGCCCACAGATCAAGGAACTGTGGAATTATTTGGGTTGGCAGGCACATTAAAGATCCTCTAGTTTCCATCCTCTTCAGGGACACTTTCCACTATCCCAGGTTGCCCCAATCCCTGTCCAGCCTGGCCTTGGACACTTCCAGGAATCCAGGGGCAGTCACAGCTTCTCTGAGCCCTGTGCCAGGGCTGCCCACCCTCACGGTGACGATGCACAGGGACAGCCAACACCCGGCATTCGCTGTGCACAACGGGACCTGGGGAGTCATGCCATGGGAAGTCACTGCCCTGTCCTACTGTCCCCTTCAGCTGGGGTGAGGTGCCAGATCCCTGCTCACTCCGAGCACTGGAGAGCCCCTGGAGATGCTGCTCCTGCTCGGCGCGGGGCCGGAACCATCTGCATCAATGAGTCAGCAGGACCCACTTAACACTTCCCCAGCAGAATCTGCTCCTCTCTCCCGACAGAATGGGCAGCTCTGGCAGGCTCTGGCAGCGTGTTACAATCTCAGCTCATTAAGGGACGCATCCTGAGTGCTTTATTGATGTTTTATGCTGCCTGGCTCCATCTTCAGAGGGAAACTCTCATTGCAGTCAATGACTACACCTCCGGCTGCTGCAGGCTGAGCTCGGAGCTCCGGATCTGTCTCCCAGAGAAGCAGGCTCAGCTCCCATGGCTACGCTGCAAACCGTGGGGTTTGACCCCAAAGTGGGCATGAAGCATCTCAGGGCCAGCATCCCTCTTTTCTTTCCAGGACTAGGGAACACTCAAAAGAAGAACACAGGGGAGAGGTTGTTTTTTTCCTTGCTTATCCCTCTTTCTGTTAGAAGGAGCTGCATGACAGGGAAGGGAAATGATGTTTCCTCTCCCCCAGCACTGCCATCTGTTCAGCCGAAGCCCAGCCGGGTGGGTGTACCCGGCCTCCTCCTCTCCCAGCGTGCTGGGAGCCACATGTCCCCACCTCGGGAGAGTCACAGTCCTTTAATAAGTTCCCCAGTGCTGGCTGTTGCTTCTGAAAAGCTCGTGGCACTGTCTGGCTTCAAGTGGCTTTTACATAATACAGACTGTCAGGCTAGATGAGCATCACGGTCCCTTCTGGCCCTAAAATCTGTGAATCTCCAAATTAGAGGGCACCAGCACCTCCTTGTTTCTGGCTGATTGAATCAGGGGAATCGTGTGTTCTCTTTCTCCTCTATTTTTTTTTCCTCCCTCCCCTGCATCATCTCTAACTGGTGGTGAATTACCCTCCCCCTGAGCCCAAGCTTGGCAAACAGCAGCAGGAGAGACCAGGCAGCTTCAGCCTTGCTCTGGGATATCCTGCTCTCCTGCCCAGTCCAGGGCTGATTCCCAGGGGTGAATTTTCTGACTGTGGGCACAGCGAGGCCTGGAGCTGGTCAGGCTGAGAGGCAGATGGAAAATCTGTGTGGAAAATGGTGCTGAGGCCTCTTGATTGTTTTAAAATCCCAACTAAGTGCTCCAAGCTTCAGACCAAGCTCCTTGGGATTTGTGACCAAGGTGTGGATGTAGAGAAACACTTTTTGGGGAGTGAAATGAAAGTGAGCAACTCCCCATGTTTTTGGGGGTGTTTGAGATGTGTAGGGGGAATGGGAAGAGCAAAGCAGGGAGAAATTGCTGATGATCTGGGAGGATTGGTGGGGATGGGGGTTCTCCAAATTCAGGGGTCTGCAACAGGAGCTGGGGCCCTGCTGAGCAGGCTCAGCTGGAGCTGGGAACTCGGGGATGTCCACCTCGATTGTCTTGGTGCTCTCAGCTGCACTCAGGACATGCACTGAGAGCCTCAAACAGAGATGGAACACCCAGGAGCTGCTTCTCCCCATCCTTTTGGGCAGGACCCCCGTGGTGTTCAAGGTGGCGGATTTCCACTGGGATGAGGAGTGGGAGCAATCCCAGAGGAGAGCTGAGGAGCTGGGGTGGGGTGCAGGCAGGGGCTGTGCAGGGTGTGGGGCACAGTGGGGGCTGTGGGAAGGGTGCTCAGTCCCTGCTCCCACACCCCCCACACGGGGAGAGGTGGCCAGAAACCTGCAAAAGTCTCACACCTTCCTCTCCCGTGGCTCATCAGGAAGAACCACATCTCTCTCCCAACAGCCAAAACCCCTCCTAAGGAGGGGGGCTCCATACCAGACCCTTTCTTTGGGGGAGGCTCTAAACTTTCCTGCTTTGCAAGTGCACTCAGGTTCCCAGCCCTCCTCTCCAGCGGTGCCGTGGTCAATAACTCACCGGGAGACTGCTATTCTCCCTGCGCTTCCCACCCTCCCACTCCTCCCGGGAGCTCTGCATTCATGCCTTTTTGGCCCTCCCTCGGCAGCGAGTGAGGAATAAAGCGGCGCCGGCTGAGCACGACGCAGGCTGTGCTGGGATGCTGTGAGCCAGCGAGGGAAGCCTGAATCACCGGCACCTCAAGGTGGGAGTGAGAGATTTGGGCTGGGAGAAAGGGAGGACATCACACGTGCTCCCGGGAGTCAGGTGCTCTCAGCTAGTTGGCTGGGAATTGGGCAACTCGGATCGTTCTGTGCTTTTAAAGACGGAACTGAGGGCGATGGGGAGAAGAGGAGGGGCCCGTGGGAGCGCAGAGGGATTCAGCCTGAAGGCTCTGAGCTGGAGCCGAGGATGAAGGATGCTGTCAGGGACTCGTTCTTCTTGGAGAAACTCCTGGAGGAGCATCCCTGGTGGCATCCCATGGAGATAGAGATCTCCAGCCTAGAAATGCCTAAAAATGAGACTGCAAAGGCTCAGCTGGGCACCGTGTGGGAGAGTGGAGTCACTGTCCCCAGCTGGGGGGATTCCAGTGCTTCTGCTGGCATCAACTGGGAGGGAGCCCCTGAAGTCTGTGGGATCGTCCCAGTTTGTCCCCATCTGTTACAGCCACAAGCAGCAGAGCTGGATTTATCACTCTTATTCCAGGTCCTTCTCTTCCCCTCTGTCCCCATCCTGCTTTCACACACTCAGACCCTGTGTTTGCCATCCAGCCTGGGGACCTGCCCACCCTGAGGGGGTCCCGTGCTGCTGTGCACCTGGTGGCGGGGGTGGGGCTGAGGGCTTGGTGGTTTCATCTTCAGATGTCTGAGACACATTCTGAGCCCTCCCTGAGCTGGGGCGGTCACTTTGCTCACCTGGTGAGCACTCCCAGAAAGAATGGGTGATCACCCTGGAAGTGTCGAGGGAAATGGAGAGAGGGTGGGGGCTTTGCTGGGGTTCACAGGTGACGTCCAGTGTCATCAGCGTGGCCTTGTGTCTTTGGGACTCTCAGGCCAGGTCTGCTTTACAATGAATGGGGGTGAGGGGTGTCACAAGGACCCCTGGTGCTCCTGAGCCACAGGCAGGAAAGCAGGAAAGCAAGGGACTTGGGAAAAGCATGCAGCGACTTGGGGAAACCTCTGGGATGGAAGATCCAGGTCCTGCTTGGACCTTGAGTCCAAGCTTTTTGTTTCTGGGAGAGGGGGATGTGTGTGGGCTGGTTCTGTGGGTCTCAGTATGGAAAAGCTGCTTTCCAGCCTCTCTGCCGAGTGTGTCTCTGCAGGGGCTAATTCAGGTGTGGGTTTGGACTTTTGGGAAGTGTTGGAGCTGGATGGCACCTGGGCTGTCCTGGGGGCCTCCTGGGAAGAGGTGAGCTAGGAGAAGGTTGGACTCGATGACCTTAGAGGTCTTTTCCCACCTTTTCCATGATTTTTTGAGGTGACTGTGGCCGTTTCACGGCAATTTATGGCTCAAACCCAAGGTGATGGATCTTTGCGGAGCAGCCTGACAGGACCTGCCCCCAGTGTCACACTGACCCCGACCCATCCCGTGATGCTGCTGTGTCCCCGGGGGGGCTGTCCCGGTGGGCGCAGGGGAAACACCGGCCCGGGGTGCGGGAGGATAACCCGGGGGGCGCAGGGAGGGACACGGAGCCCGGGGCAGACGGAAACGTTTAAATAGCGGCTGAGCATCCCGCGGCGGGGCTGGGCGGCAGCGGCGCCTGGGGAGCGCTGCGGGGCTCTGCGGAGCCGCTAATGGGCCGAGTCCATTTCAGCGGGATGACGCCACTTGGGTAAAGCGTTAAGAGCTCCGGGAAGGCAGCGCAGAGCGAGGGGGAGCGCGATGCTCCCGGGCAGCGCCAGGTCCCTCCCTCCTCCCTCCATCCCTCCTCCTCCTCCTCCCTCCGCCCAGCCTCCCATTCCCACCGAGCGCGGCCCCCCCC